TTTTAAATGTTGTTTTTCAAAATTTTAAATATTTTTTAATACAGGATAGTCTTGACAAATGGAGCTAAACTGAGCAAGCTGAGCTGGGTGTGGTGGCACGTACTTGTAATTCCATAATGTAAGAGGCTAAGGCTAATGTAAGGACTGCCATCAGTTCAAGACCAGCCTGGAGTACAGAGTGAGCTTCAGGCTGGCCAGGGCCACATAAAAAGACCCTGCCTCTAAAAGTGAAACAAAGATGGAGGAGATGGGTCTCTCTGTGACACACTGGCCACAAGTACATGAGGACTGGAATTCAGTTCCAGGACCTGTGTGAAAGGCCAAACGTGATGGCACATGTTTGCAGTCCCAGTGCTAGGCAAGCAGAAGCAAGAGGTTCCCTGGTGCTCGCTGGCAGCCAGGCTGGCCTAAGAATTGAGCCCCATGTCTCAGGGAGAGACCTTGTCTCAAAAAAAAAGGGTGGGGGTGGATGGCCAGGCTGACCTTTGACAGAGGAGGTGGGGAGCCAGTGTTAAAGGGATAAAGAGGAAACAAAATGCCAAGGGAGCCTGACACTGGTGATGCTACATATACTCAATGCTACAGAGTACCATTAACACTGCTGATGCTACCCATTGTACATATACTCAATGCTACCCATTGTACGTATACTCAATGCTACACATTGTACATATACTCAGTGCTACACATTGTACATATACTCAGTGCTACACATTTTACGTATACTCAATGCTACACATTGTACATATACTCAGTGCTACACATTTTACATATACTCAATGCTACACATTGTACATATACTCAATGCTACCCATTGTACATATACTCAATGCTACCCATTGTACATATACTCAATGCTACACATTGTACATATACTCAGTGCTACACATTGTACATATACTCAGTGCTACACATTTTACGTATACTCAATGCTACACATTTTACATATACTCAATGCTACACATTGTACATATACTCAGTGCTACACATTTTACGTATACTCAGTGCTGCAGAGTTAGACACTGAAAAAACGACTGAAATGTCAAACTTCACGTTACTATTTTATCTTTTCACAAGAAACAACAAAACCCATGCATCTGGGAGTGAGGAACCCTGGAAGAGTAGGAGCCGGGAAAACTAAGTGCCTTGGCGCATGCGTGTAGTCCAGCACTGGGGAGACCGGAGCAGGGGTGCTAACTGCCATGTGTCTGAAGCTAAAACAAAACAAATGAAAGCAAAGCTCATTGGGAGGTACTTTTTGCAGGAAAGGCTTCTTTAAAAAAATAATCAGTTAAAAAAAAAGTCTATCCAAGGCCGCAGAGACAGCTCAGTGATTAAGACCACAAGCTGTTCTTCCAGAAGACCTGAGTTCGAGTCCCAACACTCACATGGTGACTTACATCCATCTACAACACCAGTTTCTGGAGGATCCGATGCCCCTCTGGCCTCACCGAGCATCAGGCACGCACAGACACACATGCAGGCAAAACACCGGCACACAAAATTGTTTTCAAAATATCTGTTCATCGCGGATTTAAATGGCAACACGTTTGTCTTCTGGAGTAATCCACTAATATAAAAGCCATTCTGTGTAGTTTAGTGGAACTCCCCAAACCTAGGACTGACCAAGCCACAGTCAGGCTTTCAGAGTCTTTCAAGTGATGGGGGGGGGGACGACGACACACAGGGCTCCCCACCTGGATGCGGACCACATGCAGGCTGCGCACCTCATTTCTCCCCTCTGCTTCTTCCCCTAATAGTTTCCTACTTCCTGTTTAGAAAGTAACTGCGAAGCGGAAATTTTCTTTCCCACAAAGAGAGGGAGGCGTGGCTGGACACCCCCATCTCAGGAGATTTGCTCCAGCTCTGCATATGGGGGGGAGACAGGCAGGTCTGGTCTGAGAGTGTAAGCTTGCCTCCAAGACACAGACACAGAAGATGCCTAGAGGCAACCTGGTTGTCGGCAGAGGAGAGATGAGAATCAAGTTCTTTTATCTTATTTTATCTCATTCCTTGTGTTTTATGGGTCACGTGAGCGGCTCGCGGCGCCAAGGCGTCTATGGCTTTCCAACAGCTAGCGACCATGCCCTGTGTTTCCCCAGGTTCGTGCCTTCTTTCCTGCGGCTGGCGTCCTGGAATGTCATCATGTTTGTGTGCTTTGAACAGCTGAAGAAGGAGCTGTCTAAGTCGAGGCAGACGGTGGACTGCACCACATAAGCAGATGGGGTACAACCCTGGGCCCCTGTGCTTGCAGACCGTGAATAAAGCCAGCCAAACCAACCAGCTCTAGTCACTTCTTTACCTTAAAAGATCGTTTCCTATAGAGAATTGTGAATCGGCTTCTAATTTGTCTCAAAGGGAAAACTAACACATACATGTGATTTTTATTCTCACGGTCGAAAGGGGAGAAAAGCGTGGCATCCAGTACACACGGGGGGGGGGAGCAGAATATTGCCACATAAGGTACTGTGTTTAACTGGCCCTTTGTAGGTGGGATTGTATGACTGGGTAGAAGCAATTACAGCTCAGACTGGTGGAAAGGAAAACTTTACAAACATAAACACTTTTAAAAAAATGAAGTTGTCAAAGAAAACACTGCTGTTTCATTTTATTTATTAACCACAGTTCACAACTAATATAGCCAATAAAGTATTGCTAATTCCATCCAAGATTTGTCTTTTAGAGTCTGTAGCTGGATTTAAGAGTTTGGGCTCAGTTAGAATACAGAATTGTCAGCCGGGCGTTGGTGGCGCACGCCTTTAATCCCAGCACTCGGGAGACAGAGGCAGGCGGATCTCTGTGAGTTCGAGGCCAGTGTGGTCTACAAGAGCTAGTTCCAGGACAAGCTCCAAAACAATACAGAGAAACCGTGTCTCGAAAAGCAAACAAACAAAGAATACAGAATTGTCCCCATAGCAAGGGGAGTCCTTTGGAATCAAAAGCACATAGTAACTTGGCTCATGCAGATGTCTGGAGTCCATGTTTGCTAGCATCTGTAACCCAGCAGAAGGACAGAAAGAGGACACTAGATCAAAGTCAAAAGTCAGGACAAGGAAGCCATCGGCAGTCAGGTACCCTGCTCCTGTCTGAGTTTGTTTCAGGCTGAACTTACTTTGGCAGGTTCGCTCTTGGGTCAGTCTGTTTTGTATTGTCACAGGATCCTTTTGCTCCAATCATGGGTAACCAGGAGAGGTTCTTCAAATGCTGGCCTTGGGTGCCCTCCGTGTCTGTCAGTGCATGGTAACAGCTAGCAGCAGAGATGGAGGCAGCCGCGGGTGGTCCTTGTGGATGCAGCCTCATGTTTCCATTCTTCTGCAGGCCCAGAATGTCGGGGTTCTGCAGCCCTGGGCTGGTAACGGGTGCTGTAGCTTTTAGGGGCACCTAGGCACCAGAGCTCTCTAGGCAGATGAGATTTCTATGCCTAACTTACCATTGGTCAGTGTCACCGCTGGCTCTCGGCCAGGCTGTTTGAGTCTCCTGGCCCTTAACTTGGTCTGCCAGCTACTGAGCTGGAGGAGGAGAGAAACCTTTCACTGAACTTAATGCTGCACTGCCAGGGTTGGGGGACAGAGGGGGGGGGAGCAGGGGGGAGGGCAGTGTCAATTTACCGCTGACTTCCCCAGTGAACCCAAGCAGCCTGATCCACAATCCCAGAGAAGCTAGAACCCTCTTCCAGAAACAGATGGAAGCAGATGCAGAAATCCACAACTAACCAATGGGCCAAGCTCCTAGAGTACAATCAAAGTGAGGGAGGAGCGATAATATAAACAAAGGAGTCAAGACCATGATGGGGAAACCCACAGAATAATCTGACCCGAGCTACTGAGAGATCACTGACTCTGGTCTGACAAATGGGGAATAAGACCAAACTAGACTCCCTTAATATAGGTGACAATGGTGTGACTGGGATAATATGTGAGGCCACTGGCAGTGGGTCCAAGATCTAACACTAATGCACAAACTGACTTAGTGGAGCCCATTCTATATGGAGAGATAACTTGCCCAACCTAGACACAAGGGTGTGGGGAGTGGGGAGGTGCCTTGGTCCTACCTCAACAAGATGATGGGACAGACTTAGTAGACTTCCTAGGAGATACCTTACCCTCTCTGAGGAATGGGGATGGGGACAAGAAGTGGGGGGAATGGGAGGGGAGGAGGGAGGGGGAACTGGGATTGGAATGTAAAAAGTAAATTTTAAAAATTATTTTAAAAAACAGATGCATTAAGGGAAGAGTATGTACAGTGAACAATGGTTTCTGTAACCTCAGCCTGTCACTCAAGAGGGAAGCACACAAACCTTAGCAATCTGGCCGTTCGTTCACTTTTAGATCCTATAAAGAGAAGCCCTGGGTTTCTTTGCAGCTTCAGGGAAAGAGAGTAAGATGCCAAGAACCTGCAAACACTTGAGCCAGCCTAGCCACTGACATCAAATTCTATAATATGCCCACAATCTATCTACTGTTCGCATTCTTTTTAACAGTTCTTTTCTCTACTTTGACCTATTTTGTTCTTGTCTATGAAAACCCTGGAGGTGGATGCACTGTCTTCAATTTTCACCCTATCTTGCTAGAAGCATTTACAGGCAGAGTAACTTCAATAAGTGCTGCTGCAGCTTCATCCAGATTGGTCTACAGAGTGTTATTTCCAAATAAAACACATCTACAAAACTACATACTGGAATGCCGTACAATTATAAAAATAGAGTCTTAATCTATAAACAGAACCAAGAAACAGCCTTAAAAAATGAGTCACTTCTACCCCTGGCGAGAAGTGGACGGGATGGGGTGAGTTTGGGTGAAATGGTGGCTTCTTATAAAACAGGGCAGATTTTTAGCCTCCTAACCACTTACTCTCATCCAGTAGCATCTTATATAATTACAAAGTGAGCTAAAAGTCACAAATCTATGAGTTACAACTTACCTGTAATTTAAATAAGGAAGCATTGTTTCATGGACACAAATGGCTTACACAGGGGAGGGGACACAATGACAGTCCAAGCATCCACGGGAAGAGTTTATTTTCTCACTTAACATCACAACCAAAAGGACAACACATCTCACACTATTGCTTTTACTTGAAACTCAAATGCTTGATGCAAGATAGACAAAAATTTAAGTTGCCAACCAGTACTTTCCCTCTAGGGAGCACTACTGCTTAAATATTTGTCAGTAATTTAACAAAAACATAGAACTACTCTACTAAAGTTAATGTGGTTGTTGGGTCCAACCTATGCTACATTTAAAACTTTTTTTCTCAACAAAAGCTGGAGGTGGAAAAACCAAAAACGCAAGACGTGGTATTTCTCAGAGTATTAACCAGTTCACTCATCTTCATCTAAATGCTGCTTGTGTGGAGAGACTCCTGAGGATGACCATGACTCAAAGCCTCCCCAACCACGGGACTCTCATGGATTAGAACAGAGTATCTCTCCTGATGGTTCAGCTGCTGGTCCTCAGTCATGATCACAAGAATAAACATTATCACGCTCCCAGACAAACCTCCCTCTTCATTGTCATCATACCCTTCCTGCAGCACAAATGAGCAGGTGCTTTTTACACCCACGTCATGGTTTTTTCCTTTGAGCCGAACTTTTAATCAAAATCTCTTTCACTGAATATTCTTAATGAACAGAATGATATAAATGATGATCAACACTAAAGGAAGAAAAATGAGTACATACATTTTCATAGAGAAATACAAACAAATCCAAGTAGTTCCTAAAATAGAAAGAAAAAATAAAACAGGGTAGGGATTTTTTAAATTCTGATGTCTGAACTATAAATGGTGCCAATTAAAATTCATTTTTTATACCTAGTTGTATTGTGGGAATTCATTTTTATATCTAGTTGTGTTGTGGGAATTTATTTTTATACCTAGTTATACTGTGGGAATTCATTTTTATACCTAGTTGTATTGTGGGAATTCATTTTTATAGTCAGTTGCATTGTTGACATTCATTTTTATACCCAGTGTTACATTTATTTACAAAGAGGCTAGTCTAGGTTCAGTGATTACCCTACTGTCTCCCATTTTTAAAACGATTGTCTTTCAAAGCATCTGAACTGAAATGTTGCAGTTAAGTTTTTATGCTACTCTTGTCACTGGTAAAATCTCTTCAACTTTGTACATATAAACATTTGTCTCCACATTGATTCATTAATACTAAAACTAACATAATTTCCCTGCTACCTCAATACCATGAATATCGGCTGCTACACTGTCATTTTCTAGTTCTAGACACAGGTAAACATCTACAGGTGGATTTGAAACTACATAAAATTCTGACATCTTTGAAAGTAAAGGATACTGACGGTGCAGTTCTTTTCCGCATATGCCTAGCCCATCAGCCAGAGGCTGTTTCATAGTGCATTCTAATATACAACTAGTGACGGTCAAATTCTGGAACTCTGAGGCTGTCATTGGCTTATAGATCAGTTCACTATAAAATTATTTGAAATAGTTAATGACAATTTTAATAAAAACAATATTTGTAATATACAAACAAAGGAGAATTTAATGGCTGTGACATTAACCAATCTATGACAAAATGTCCTTAACATCACTAGAGGTTTTCTGTTGGGAAATGCTTAACGACTCAAAAAATTTCCTCTTTCACACTTCAAGTACTCTTTTTATTAATAAGCTGACAAAGAGCTAAATCTGCCCAAGATCAAAGCTGTTGAAAAATTAAAATACAGTGGTAAGTATTTCTAGTGCAAAAGTTAAAGACGTGCACAGCTGCTTCCCATAGAAAAGCTAACACTACAATATGATGAACAATAATGTTGGACATGTGCTCCTTGTTAGGGTTTTGCAATACAATAACCATAAAACCTGGATGACAAAAGGTTTTTCAAAAGTGAAATGAATATATTACCAGGGTTGAGAAAGTCCCCTATAAGAAATCAATTGTTAAGTTCCTGTAACACTCAAAAGATAAATTCTTCCTAGTATAATAAAACAAAACAAAACTACTTTTTAAAAAAGTTTCATCTTCCTTAAGGAAAAAGCAATTCTAACCCATGCACAGCGATGCACATGCTATGCACCGCTACAGCTGTGGCTTTCCTGGGAGACATCTGTACCGTTCTCTTTGACCAGCGTGAAGACAGGGGCTTGTCAAAAGACACCAACAAATTGTTGGAAAGTATCAAGTCTTCCTCTATCACATGAGCTAGTCTTTAAATGTCTGACATTAAAAGATGTGCAAAGTATCACTGTGTTTTAGATTAACTTATGATGCTGTGAACTGGTCTCCACAGGACTTAACAGCGCTCTTTCCTATCTTTAGACTCTCTAACTTTGCTCTGAGAACAAATCTCTAAAACATGCCAAGAGGAAACCATCCCCTCAGAATCCCATCACAGTACTTGCTGCCCTCCTGAGATTTTGGGGAATAAAGTTACACAAATGCAGTCGTGGTCCATGCCTGTTAGGCAGGTCCCTACATCACTGCCCAGAAACACCAGAGCCAAATCAGAGACAAGCAAAGGGGACAGCAGGCCAAACACGCCAATGATGGAGAGCAGAGATCCAGGAAACGCTCAGTTTTCTTCCCATGTAAGTTTCAAAGACAGTTTTACCTTAAAAGAAACCGTGTTTCCAAAACCAGGGTTTTCTTAGTGGATGCACCTTCTTTCTGACACAGAGGCAGAGGCCTCCCAGGGGAGCCCTGAGGAAGGTTCTTAACATGGCTGATAAAAGCAAATACTGAGCAAGAGTGAGAGCCTAGAAAGCCCGAAACAAGACCTCCAAAGTGTATTTGTAAGTAGGAAGCCAGTCATCCACACTGCCATCTCTCATTCCCTATGTTCAGTCATCAGACAGACCATAAAGGAAGTCATGATTCTTCACCTCTCTGACAGAGCCACACTCCCCTGCTCTGTGGTAAGGATACCCTGACAAGTGCCGGACACAAAGACAAAGCCTGAGCACTCACCAGGTGCCCGTCTGCCTAGAAATAAAAAAGACAAAGCACGTTCAAAAGCCACTTCCAGACTGAACAATAATCTTGGAGAATTTTGAAATTTTGAGAATGACATCAGCTCGAGAACAACAACATAAAAATGAGATTCGTGCACATTTTAATCAACTGGCTAAATATAAATATACCTGATTCAGACTTTTAAACTAACAGGCTAAGTCCCAAGTTCCAAACTGTAGTTCACGTGACTGCAGAAGGGTTCTTTGGAAGGGTACGGAACCTGTGGAGAACAGTGTACAAACAACTGTAAACACACACTGATTGTCCACTAGCTTTCTTAAATAGAGTTCTCAAGTAGGAAATTAGATACTGTAGTTGATCAGATAATTTCTATAACATACAAATTCTGCTGTGTGTGCAAACATGGTAGAAAGAGAAGATGCTCTGGATGTTTCATGTCTTCAAAGTGAGTACAGTATTGTAGTTCAGTAAGAGTCCTTTAATCTTCTCGTGAAACTTCTCTCTGTACAAGTTGAAGTACATGATGCTTTCTGGTTCTTCTTCAAGCCAAAACTTGTCAAATTCATAGACCAGGTAACCTGCAATTAAAAACCACACAAACATGTTGTCTACAGCAATAAAATCATATTTAGACCATCTTGTCTTCAGAAAGTATACATCCACCTTGGGCCAGGGAGATGGCTTAGCAGATAAGGTTGCTGGTGTGCAAGCCCGGCAACCTGAGTTCAAATACAGAAAATAAAGTACAAAGTGCACTAGGAAACCCATCTCCCACAGTAAAAGGATAAGCACAGATTCTGTACTTCCCAGGCATTCCATTAAAAACCACACTCTGCTTGGTTGAGAGTGAACGATGCTCTTGGTCAGGTCTGGAGTGACTCCCTCCTTCTAATACTCACAATAAAACTGGTGAAAGTGCTCCATTGTTGGTATCCCAGGAACAAAGTTGTAGAGGTGAAGCTTCAGGGCCTCGCTCTTCAGTAAGCTATAAGCCATCTCTGTAAGGTTGATCCCAACTATTGCATACGAGTACCTACGCCAGAGACATCACCAGTTATACAGCTGGCAGACAGCTCAAGCTTATCCAAGTGCGTAAATAACTTGCTAATTTACTCAAACGACTCTGGTGCTCCCCTAAACACAGGACGCACTTTTTGATAATCTCTCTACACAGAGAGATCAAAGGTGTCCTTTTTTTTTAAGGCTGTTAATTTTCTAGATAGAAGCTAAGAAGTAAAAATAAAAGTTCTGACTATATGACATCTAAAAACAATAAAGAGAGGGAAATCTACATTTACCAAGCTTTGTTCTAATTATTATGTGTAAAGCAATATATAACTAATAACAAGGCCTTAATTTGCATTTCCTTTGCTATTTTCAAAGCTAACTCTGAGTTTCCTATTTCAATTAGTTTCTACTCCTACTTTGAAAATGTTTTTGAAAAAAATATGAGCCCCCATATCTGCTTTTATAAATTATATCATATGATAAAATTACTGGAATACATAGAACATTTATGATCATTTTCTTTAAGATAGTTTATAATATCACTCATTAAAATAACATTTTAAGATACATTTCGAAATACTTTCAGATTTATATACTCATTTTCATTGCAACAGTCTAGTTTTTACTGTTTGCCCGGCTTACCCTAATTTGGGGTGATTTGAGCGGGAAAGAATCTGATGCGCTTCATTGGTGTAATTCTCACTGAAATACCTAAACAAGTCAAGGAAAATGATGAAATAAAAATGTGCCACTCACAAGTCGCATAAAAGTTCAGCGCAAGCCACTGCCACTGTCAAAGCAAAGCCCTCGCTCCCACAGACACTCCATCTCCCTCAGTGGCTCACAAAGGGTTCTGGGTCCAACTCGAATCCGAAGGAACCAGGCCTCTCAACAAGGAGCACAGCAGACAGGAGCTTTGCAAAACTACGCTAACAGAGAGCTCGCCTACACATGGATTTCCTATTTACTTACGAAGGGAGAAAAGTTCTGAATTCTTGTTGTGACACCTGCTAACTCTCGTCCCGTACAGCACTCAGAGGGCCCCTGGGGCCGCCCTTCACTGCCTTCTCTCTGCCACAGCTGCAGTCTGTGTTTCCTACCCACTGCTGCTGACAGAATTGCAGGCGCATGTGAGTCCTGGCCATTCATCTTCACACCAGCTGATGCCTTAACTACCGCGAGGACAACTGTGCTTCACTTACAGGCCTACCCAGACCCCTCAACACAGTACAGCCCGACTGTTAAACCTCGCAGGAGAGGAAGTTGCTCACATTCCTTAAAGATCCTTAGGAAGCAGAATTATATAGAACTTTTAAGATTTTAGATATACATGCTTTTACAATTCAAAATAACATATATCGTAAAATCTTACCACGACATATCTTTCCCCCAATAGCTTTATCCATAAAAAGTTTAGTTCAACTTTTTTTTCACAGTAAGAATTATCCAAAGAGCTAGGCGGTGGTGGAGCATGCTTTAATACGAACATTCAGGTGGCAGAGATAGACAGATCTCTGTGAGTTTGAGGTTAACCTGGTCTACAGAGTGAGTTCCAAGACAGTGAGAAATCCTCTCTCAAAAAAACAAAACAAAACAACTACAATAACAAAAAACCCACAAAAATCATACAAAGAAATGATTAGCTTCTCATTCTCTGCATTATTTATAGTCAGTAAATCACAAGTTACAGATAAACAAAATCACTGCAGTCTGCACACCTGAACATCTACAGAAGAGCTGTATCTCATCCTTCCTGGTGCAGCCGCCCTTTAACACAGCTCTCATGCTGTGGGGACCCCAACCATAAAATTATTCTGTTGTTACTCCACAACTGCAACTTTGCTACTGTGATGATCATAATGTAAACATCCAATGTGACCCCCACACAGGGGTCATGATCCACACATTGAGAACCACTGGTAAAGAACTCAATTTTCCAGTTCACTTATTAAAATAGTGCTGGCTATCAGTTGTGACTTACAGTACATACTTTGGGACTTCATGCACATGGCCTACACAGTGAGGAAAAGGCACGCTGTCACAGCCATAAGAAGGGGTTCAGGTAGCAAGCAGAGGCGCATACCACCTAACCTGCTTCTGTTTTCCCTAGGGAACCAGAGCCGCACAGTGGAAACAAGGGGGCAGACACACAGCGAGTGCTCGCAACTCTTATGCAGGTGTCAGGAATGAGGCTGGAAGAGAAGGGGGAGGCACGCACTATGAGCGCTGGGCAGCAATCACACACGTGAGCACAGATGGACGCCTGCATGTGCGCACGTGCTCACACACTGTCTTCCAATTGTTGCCAGCACCCTAGCAAACGTGTACACTGCAGTTACAAAACCTTACAGTCAATATGAAACAACAGGTCAATTCTTACTAGAATGAAAAGAGACTAGAAATAACACAGAATTTCATTCAGCCAAGAAAAGGAAACTTATTTCACTTACACTAGATTGATTAGTCCGAGTATGCCCATGCCTCTGAAGTCTGTTTTGGGATCATCACCTTGGAATCCAATGTCTGCCCATTGCTTGGAGATCCGGGCCTTCAACTTTTTTGTAGGCATCAGAAGACTCCAAAGCTGCACAAACATGCTTTTGTGTTACAAATAATAGTGATGTTCTTGGTTTATTGGGACATTTTCCTTTCCTTAGCTTATGTAACTCATAATTGAATACTTTCAGTTCAACAACTTTTAGGCAAATTCTAAGACTTACAAGGACTGCATTTAAAACATGGTGTAACTATTCTAACCAGAAAGACTGTTGCAGAGAATCCTTTTTTTAAAGCAAAAAGCCACAGAAATCCTTTTTTAAAGCAAACACACACACACACACACATATATATACATACATATGCTAGAATTAAATTGCTTAAGAAGAGCAGTCTTGTGTAAATTTACTAATATATGTGTATTTATATATATACATATATATATGCTAGAATTAAGTTTCTTAAGAAGAGCAGTCTTGTGTAAATGGACCCATAACTTGGTTTGAATGGGCTCTGCTGTAACATTGGGTGATTAGTCTTTAATCCAACAAGATAAAATAAATAGGTCTGAGGGAGGGGACCAAGGAAAATAATATTAATAAAACTCAAGAGATATGCATATGTGTGCACGTGAGACTATTTCATAAAATTAAATTTTTAAAAGAAAAACATGTCATTGTTTTAAGATAAGTATAATCTTTAATACTGTTATCAAGAGTTGTTGACTAACAATCTTTCCCTTCGTTAGACATGAACAAACCAGTCAATGAAAACTAATAAAATTTAGTCAATTTCAAGATCCAGTGTAAGTCATCAAACAGACTTGTAGACACTGATTAAAAACTGAGAAGATTTGTAAAACAGAAATGTTTATACCTGCCCCCATTCATTGTAAAACAGAAATGTTTTTGCCCGCCCCCCATTCATTGTAAAACAGAAATGTTTATGCCTGCCCCCCATTCATTGTAAACCAGAAATGTTTATACCCGCCCCCCCCCCATGCATTGGCATGTGAGGCACTGTTGAGAGAAGGAAGAGTATCCTGTCACCTAATAAACACTCAAGACTGTGACCTTCTAGAATTCTGGCCCTGAAGCTAACTCCAATTATAAGATTGGGCTTTCTCTCTCCCGCTCTCTTACTAGCCACCCATACAGCTTATTGACATTTACAAGGAATGTGACCATAGCAATAAGGCTTTTGATGTGTGGGTTGCAATGTAAAACCATTACTGCTCAATTTTTATTTATCTGTTTGTGGAGATGGTATCTTATTATATAGCCCAGAATGGTCTTGAATCTCCATCCTCCTGCCTCACTCTCCAAAATTCTGGGATTATAGGTACATGTCATCATATTCAGCTTTTAATGCACAAAATTTAATATTCATAAGTACCATTATGGGCTGTAGCCTGGAGATGCTGATTTCTTAAGGTTAAGGTGAAAGTCTGTAATCCAAACGTAGACACTAACAAAAGCTGGTGAACACATCTTCGGATTCCACTGAATTACTTCAGCCCTGCAGTTCCCTTGCCAGCAGGGCTGCTGAGCTGACACCAGTCACTGTGTCCAGAGCTGAAGTGCACAATGAACAACCCAGGGGAGAGCTGCCTGGACTCGGGCGGGCACTAGGACAGGGGTCTAACCCTGCAGGAGGGCAGGTGCTGCAGAGGGCGCTGAAATGAAGGTGACAAGTAGTCATCTAGCATGCTTGTGATCACTTGAAACATAAGCTCAACCCACAAAAAAAAACTTTACTAACCTCAAAATAAAATCAAGGGTTATTTTCATTTTGCAATTAGGTAAAAAATGTTAGTTTACATTTTTTCTAAAAAAGGTCTTGCTTGTTTAAATTTATTTTTATTTTATGTTTATGAATGTGTTTATATGCACCATGTATGTGCCTCATGCCTTCTGAGACCAGAAGAGGGTATCAGATCCCCTGGAACTGGAATTATGGGTAGTTGTGATCTACCACGTGGGTGCTGGGAATTGAACCCAGGTCCTCTGCAACAGCAGTAAGAACTTATCAGTTCTGAGCCCCCTCTCTAGCCCTAGTTTTGCTGTGTATGAGCAGCTGATGTCCCTCAGTCAGATGTCCCCAGTGTTACTTTCCACAGGGCTTTGGTTCTGTCAAGTCCTAGCTCCAAGTGCAACATAAGCTAATGGAACGGATGCATGGGGAGCAGAGAGGACAGGTAGGGAGAGTCAATCAGAACTAAGCATGCCACACGAAATGTCAGGAACTCTCTAATGAAATAGGGAGGGAGAGGTAAGTGGAGAGGATGAGTGAGGTAAGGGAGAGGGAAGGAGGGAGGGAGGGAGGGGAGGAGGGAGGGAGGGACAGAGGGAGAGAGTGAGGGAGGAAGGGAGGGAGGGAGGAGACAAAGCCACCCCTGCAGCCTCCTGAAGGCAGCATGGACTGGAGCAGAAGACAGGCAGGAGCAGCCCCAGGCTCCAGCTTTAGTGCCAGCAGCAGATCAGCCCATCGGGGCCTTGGAGCCCTCTTCCCCACATGCAGGGCCACACTGAGCAGTCTACAGCACTTTCTCAACCTGTACATGGCAGGGCCACCACCCTCACACACTTACACACCAGGAGCAGGTGACAGGAAGCTCTCTCCCTTCTTACAACTGGAGTCTACTAGTGCGGTATTTAGTGTCGGAAGCTGTCCTGGTCCTAGAAGTCCCACAATGTTGTGGAAAACGGACATCTACTTTCATAGATTCTGTGTTGCTGAGAGAAAGCTCAGCCTCCACAGTAAATTAGATAAACAGAGGCTCTGGGGCCCAGACACCCCTGCCTTGAAGGTACAAGAGACCCCCTTTTATGAAAGGACAACTTAGAAGCTTTATTTACCTGAACAGATTCTAAAAGGTGCTTCTCAAGTAAGAGTTCCTGTCAATGAAATGTAACACACATTCTCCGTGAGGCAAACAAATGGGTGGACCACATGAACCTCGAGAATCCACACAGCTCTCACAGCTGAAGCGACTCCCTGAACACTCAACCAGCGCTTACCTTGAGGAGCAGTTTCTCATGCTGCGCATTGCCAGAATCATAGGGTTTTTTCCTCACATTTTCTACATCCTGGTAAAGCTGCTTATAGCCAGTTATCTGCAGTAAGCACGTCCTCATACAGATTTGAAAACTGAAAGATAAAATTATTAGTTTACATCAGACCTCTTATCACAATAAAGCAAAGCCTGTGGTTCATACATGCATTCAGAGGGTGTTTCCTGGCTTTCAACTTATCATAAGATGCACCAAAGGCCACACAGAGCCTCACACGGGACTGTGTCCTCAGAGCCTCATCAGAGCCTCACACGGGACTGTGTCCTCAGGGCATCACACGGGACTGTGTCCTCCTCACACGGGACTGTGACCTCAGACCATCACACGGGACTGTGTCCTCCTCACACGGGACTGTGGTAAAATGGGGCCTCGAGAACATGCAATGCATAACTGGCTCCATGACTCATTCACATTCTCTCTGAGCAGTCCACACAACCACTAATCTTACTGCCACAAAGCAATGTGACTATGGAAGTGCATACAAAACAACCCAGGACAAGTTATGTTTCCCCAATGCAGCAGCTTACTTTCCCTAGAGCAACACGCTTTTTACAGCGACTCCACTCTAGTAACGGCACACGAACCTTCAGCACCCAAGACAGAGCACTTCAAGATCCAATCCATCAACATGTAGAAGACCCTCAAGCCTCATGCTGTCCCTGAAATGCCACCAGACCAACCCATAAGGCACCAATTCCCTGCCGGGTTTATGGGTTCACGTCCTAGCTACTGTCATACTCCCGAAGCCGGCTTCACCTCCCTTACATGTGTAAGCACTGATCCCTTACATGTGTATCCACTGATCACTTACATGTGTATCTGATATCACTTACATGTGAATCCACTGATGTCCCTTACATGTGTATCTGATGTCCCTTACATGTGAATCCACTGATCACTTACATTTGTATCCACTGATGTCCCTTACATGTGATGATATCACTTACATGTGAATCCACTGATGTCCCTTACATGTGTATCTGATGTCCCTTACATGTGAATCCACTGATCACTTACATTTGTATCCACTGATGTCCCTTACATGTGAATCCACTGATTACTTACATGTGTATCCACTGATCACTTATATGTGAATCCACTGATGTCCCTTACATGTGTATCCACTGATCACTTACATGTGTATCCACTGATGTCCCTTACATGTGTATCCACTGATCACTTACATGTGAATCCTCTGACGTCCCTTCAGTGTGCCTACTGCCTATCTAGCGGCTACTTGGTGGCTCTGGTAGAACAGGACTACGTTGCCCACAGAAGTGCAGGCTGCTCATGAAGGACAGAGAGCAGTGTGAGGGCTCAGCAGAACCAGTGACACACACTGGAGGGCTTGAGGAGGACACAAAACCCAAAGTTTGAAGGGCAGGAAGGACAGTGGACAAAGTTATTTAGCCTCACGAGAAGAAGAGCATAATAGGGCTGAGTGGGAGAACCTGGTTCAGTCCGTGTGCGCAGTTACCAGCATACGGGGCCTCAGTGCTCAGGGGTGACAGGAGATGGCTACATCACCCATGGCCTTCCCGCCACAGTCCACCTGAGCAGGGCTCTGCACAGCAGGCTAGAGAGCATGACGCAGTTGCAGGGGGAGCAGCGCACCTGGTGTCTTTCTCAGGGCAGATGTTCTTTTCCTTCATTATGTCTGCTACACATCTGTCCAGCTCACTCTCGTCAACTCGGGTTGCATTCTGGAGGACCTGGTTATCAAGACACAGCTGAATGAGCAAAGTCAACGAGAGCTGACACAGAAGTTGAGACGTTTAACCAACTTGACCAAGAAGATATTAAAATGCACAAAGAAACCACATTTATTTCAGATCTCCCCGAAAGCTGGAATCATGGTTTTATTTGTGGTTGTATAAAATCTTCCTAATCACACTCATAAGAGCAACTCTAACTAAACTCAGCGAGTGAAAAATAAAGAAGTCATGAAAGTGGGATGGGGCTGCTTGGGAAGCCCAGCATGTACAGGAGGAAGAGAGGCCATGCAGGAAAACACGTCACGAAACAGTGCATACTTAGGAAATTGTCACAAAAGATGTTAAGGGAAGTGGGGGAGTAGGATAGGAGGGAGGGAGAACTGGGATTGGAATGTACGAAGTAAATTAATAAAAAAGGCGTTTAAAAAGATGTTAAAATTTACAATTAATCTTATAAAGAGGAGCAGCAACAGGATCTAAGAGCTGCCTTCCTGTCCCCATGCTGCCCTCCCCATCCAGTTCTCCAGGGACCCTCCTGTCCCCATCCTGCCCTCCCCACCCAGTTCTCCAGGGACCCTCCTGTCCCCATGCTGCCCTCCCCTCCTGGCAACTGCTCTTCCCACAATGCACTGTGTCAGCACATTAGGAAGGTGACCATCCTGTATGGTGTACTTCCGGTCCATCTGGTACTTTCCTCTACTTGTCTAGGAAACCCTGTGAGTATGTCCTTTAATTTGGCTCTCTTGGAGGACTATCTGAGCTACCTCAGCCTCTCCCTCTATTTCTGCATAAGTCTGTTGATGAGCCTGTCAGTGTCTTCAAAACATAGTGAGATTCTGATCAAAATTAATATTTTAATAATGAGTCTTTTAATTGATGATCACCAGGTTTCTTTTTTTTTTTTTCAATCACAATTTCTCCAGTTTTAGAGTTGAAGACAGTGTTTCGTTAAACCCTTGGTGTTTTACACTTCGGGCTGCTGTGTTGGTGGAACTGCCCCTTCAGGATCTAACAGCTCATTGCTGTCGGGGTTTTCTCCCATACTTGGTCAGTTATTAGAGGTTATTGACATTAATCTTGGTAAAGAATTGGCCTCTGAGTTTGTTGATACTATCTACTTGTCTGATTCTCTATTCATTCACTTTCTGCCTTACTCTGGACTCAGTTGCTTCTCAGGCTTCTGAAGACACAAATATTGATAACTGGTTTAGGTCTCTAAAATCTGCTTCAGTAAGCTAAGCAAATGTTGATTCTGTGGTGATTTCAGTTCAGTTTCTTCCTCTGTCTCCTACCAAATTCTCTGACCCATGGGACATTTTATAGACCAGATATTGACTTTTTCACAGCTTAGCAGTCATAGGGTGTAATTTATAAGCCACCCCTAGTCTATAACTAAGTGAGACTTAATTTTTACCCATCAAACAAGCTTCAACTGTGAACAATTTATATCCCAACACAATCATACTTTGAGATTACTGTTGGGGACAAGACTTAATAGATTAAAATTGCTGTTATTCATAACAAGCATTGAAAATGCAAAGTATTTAAACATGTAAGAGAGTTTCTTGGGTGCTTTAATTCTCTCAAATTCTTGTAGTGCCCACTGGCTTAATTACATCATCATAAACATTATCAACATTCATTCTCTTACGTTGCCTTCACGTTGAAGTCTCCAGTCCTAAAGCCATCTCAAGGCACTCACTGGTAAGGGGACAAGCAAACCTCACAAAGTCACACAAGCAGGAAGCAATGAGATCAGGACTGCTGTCCTGATTTCTCTCATGTGATAAAATGTAGTAAAATGCAGAGGTCGTCAAGATCAGAATAGACTTTTTTCTTGAGGTAGATACAATGTGCAGACCACGCACACACTGCACGTGTGAGCTGACAAGTCTGTCTCCATGCATTAACAAACCTGTTCTTGACTTCAGGCTTCACGACAACGAAGCATCTAGGATTTAACTGAGTTAGCAGTGTTAGCTTTTGTCTTTACAGTGTACCACAAAACACAAGGATTTCACTTTACTTTTGCTTTGTTTTGTTTTGGTTTTGAGACAGGGTTTCTCTGTGTAGCCCTAGCTGTCCTGGAACTCACTCTGTAGATCAGACTGACCTGGAACTCACAGAGATCCACCTGCCTCTGCCTCTGGAGTGCTGGGCTTAAAAGTGTGCACTACCACCGCCCAGCCGTATTTTACTTTTTTAATGGTGAGATCCTAATACAACCTTAACATTTTCATTTCAAGTTAGATTTTTTAAATTAGTAAGTAGGGTAAAAATTAGCATCTTTTCTGTTTATTTAATAGTCTCCTGTAGAGTCTCGACCACCTTTTACAGGGGTCACATATCAGATATCCTGCGTATCTGATTTACATTACAATTCATAACAGCAGCAAAACTACAGTTATGAAGTAGCTATGAAATAATTTGATGGTTGTGGTCCCCACAACATGAGACACTGTGCTAAAGGGTCCCAGCATTAGGAAGATGAGAACCACTGCTCTAAGCCTTCCTTCTCTGTGGCACTCTCTACTTCTCTCCTATTGATAACTACAACATCAGCTTTACTTCTTTATTGCTGACGGCCCTGGCAGAATACTGCAATGTTGTCATCAAATCTTTAACATTTCCCCAACATCTTATCTCCTATCCTACTTCCGTTTAGCTTAACTTTACACACATAAAATCTCACTAATGACTTCTGAGACCCTAAGACACCACTGCAGCTGGCTCTCATTACAGCAGCTCTGCTGACGCCTGGGTGCTGAGTTCAGGTGCTGTGCCTTCTCCATCAGCGCTAGCAAAGGGAACAAACGTAGAAAGGAGGCCCTGACTTCCAAACCATTCTTCTCCATTCGTTTATACTCGAGCACTGTTACCCGCTAGGAGCTGGTGCCGGCTCTAGGGATTCAGATGCAGATGGTAAACACTATGCTTCATTTTGGGGCAGGGGAAAATGGAGAAATAAAAAAGGTAAAATACTGCACAACAAGGAAGGCAAAAGGACAGGGAGGTTAAAGGTTCCAATTCCAAGCAGAGAGTGGTCAGATTGCTCATGAGGTCAGAACTGAGCAAATCTGGAGATGATGAGACTTGAGGTTTTACTGGGAGAATGGATACTCTGGCTCTCACGGCACACAGGCCGGACGGCAGGTGCTGCTCTGGTTTGGAGCAGCAGCAGCACAGTGGCGATGACACGAACAGGACAAGAGCCATGCTAGATGCAACGGACAGCAACACAGGGGCAGGTGGCATCCAGGGGATGGACAGCACCGACAGTGTTGTAGGCTGGTGTCAAAGCATTAGAGAGGACACACTCAAGAGCTGGGGGCACATGTGGGGTCTGAGGGGGTGATATGAGGAACTGTTACACTTCTACAGAAAGCACCTGTCAGAGGACGACAACGATTCATTCTCAAATACTCCCAGAGTTATGACACAAAAAGACACAACTTGCTTTACACCCACTGGCCCATGTGGAACACTCGGCTCCTTACAGAAAGAATGGGAGCAGTCAGGACGCAGGGCTGTCCCTCCAAGCAGGGCCCTGACATGCAGGACATAGTGTCACCGCGGAAGCAACACATCAGAAACAGAATCAAGGCTTCTGGAGTGGGGCCCAGTGCCTACATTCCAACAAGCTTCCAGAGGGCTGGGGCTGCTGGGCTTGAACCTGTCCTAACAGTTCTGAAATACGATGTGCCCACATATGTCTGCCACAATGCACCAGGCTGCTGTGGGGATCTGCCTGCTACACTTCAATGGCAGGAACTCTGTGCGTGCGTGCGTGCGTGCGTGCATGCGTGTGTAATTAAACAAGAACTAGAGCAGAAACTGGAAGAAATAAAACAAACTGCTTTAGGATTCTGAACGAAAGACAACTATTCCCTCCTAGGTGGATGTGAGTTGTTCTTACATAGTTAACTCCTAAGTGAGATTGTACCAAAACTAGCAAGCACCACTTTAGCAGTAACTCTCCAGAAAGAGACATATCGGCTTAAGAGTCCAACACCCTCTGTTTGCAGGGTGAGTCAGCAACTCTTATCAGCACTGGCAGACAGAGTCACGTCTACACATTTACTACGGTTCACAGTTTTCACTGTGGCCAAGTGCAAACACATATACAGCTATCTAGAACACAGATGTACACATAGATAACTGAACTAAAAAGTCACAAAATAATATTTAATCTTATTGTGAACAATCATTTCTAAGCATTTTCTATCCCTTTTGTACCGTTTAATGCTGGTCACCATCTATTAACACAGTGTCCAATAATGATCTACATGACTTGCAAGTTTGTCTCTGCCACTACAGTAATTCTGACACAGAAAACACTGTGACCTAACAGTTAACTCTAGCTGCTTAGTTCTTGGTCTTCCAATTAACACAGCATCAAAAGTAGCTAACATGTGGGAGGCGGCCATATTGGTCCTGACTTTCCATCAACGACAAGTCCATGCAACCACTTGCCCGACTCAGCTTGGGGGTGCACTGACTGCATTTGAGGACTCTGCTTTGCACCTGGCCACTCGCTGGCCCTGTGGATGCAAATGGAGATGACACAGTATGCTGGGCCTACACTGAGTTACTGTGAGAGCGTTCACTCTCTGCCCACCGAGTCCCACACCTGGAGCCTGCAGTCAGACATGTGGACCCGTTGAGAATGTGACACCAACTTGACAAAGGGCCTTTGCAGCTGGCCCACACGTGCATGAGCACACAGTAACCTTGCTGAATGCTCCTGAAGCTTTGGGTTTCTTTCCTACACAGCAAAGGCTGACAGCCACATGGCATACGCTGGGACTCACTTTAGATCCAAAGGTAAGCATGCACTGTTTTCTGCACCCAAAATCGCTCTGCTCTTCTCTCACACAGCCTACCCTGAGAGCCAGGTCACGGGGAGGGCTGCCCCAGACACCGATCTCCAAAAGCTACCAACTGCTACTGCAAAATAAACAGGGAAAGCCTCAGGATGAGACACGGAGTTCAAATACTTTTCTGTCCATCAGAACACAGAAAGTCTTTTGAAGACAGAATTACTACTTCTAAAATGAGCAAATTTAACTCACAGTTTCTCATAGCAGAGACGGTAAATATAATCCTGAAATCAAAGTGTTCTTTTAAAGAAAAAATATGCTTAGGCTAAGTTTTCTAGAGTTAGCATTTTAATCTGCCCTTACCTTACTCTTGGAACATGTCAAGGAATTTTCTGAAATTAAAAAAGAAAAAAAAAGTTACCACTTGAATGTATTTTCTGAATTAGACCAAAATCAAATAGTAAAAATATAAAAGCAAGTTTAAGACACAATTTCCACGTGAAAACAGAGCAATCATCTCAAAGTCTTATAGGACAGAGAAGAAGCTGGAATGATCTCCCCCGGAAACACAGTATCAAGCTGGTGTGGGTGTCCCCAGAATGCTGTTTCTATGCAGACCACCAGAGTGAGGGTGTCTGCTGACAGCTCCGATCTCATCTGAAGGCTGTTCTCCACTCCTTTCTCTTCATCCCTAGTGAGTGGCCAGCAACTGAACAACACAGGAACAAAGGAGCCAAGACTAGCCTGCCTGGCCCACTATCCTCTCTCAAGCAAAGAGCAAGCAGCCTCTGCATTCCTGGCTTTTGTTCTAAGAATGGCAAGAGTATTTGTGTTGGTTAAAAAAAGTTTCTGGTACACTGAGAATGCTCTCCTTTTGAGGATTTTAAGAAAAATGTTTTTTGTCTCAAAGTAAACCCTTGAATATGTTCTTCCCACGTACTGTTAAGTGCCAACGAGTACAGCTTGCAGAGACCTGTGTCGAGGGGCACTTGGAACGTCTAAACAGGCAAGAGGGAAAATCAAAGAATGTACACTAAGCTTCAATCAGCCAGTGGCAGGAAATGCTTCTCCCGTTCTTCCAATGCCACCTGGGACAGGGCCCACCGCCCATGCCTCGCTTCTTGGCCCTAATGGTGTGTTTGAGGCATTCTTGAACAACACAAAACAGGAACCAGTTAAATCTAGATTTTCCACTTAACACAGCATCAAGAGCTGTGGCTCTGCCTAGGTCTTTCTTAGTACACCTAAAGTGACTTCAAACCAAAGTTCTCAACCATCCGAGTTTGAAGTCAGAGTAATATTTTCAACTAAACATTGAAAAACCTGTCATGTGACAGAAATACAATGCAAGTCACACTAAGCCCCATGAATACCATAAAAATTTCCACAGCTCCACTAAGTTAAAAAGAAATACATACAATTTGTATGACTATAACTTAACGGATCTAAAATATTATCACTTCAATGTGTTCAATTATGACACCTTCACACTTTTTTTTCCCCACACACTCTGCGTGTACCCCGCTGACACCATGCACACTTCAAGTGCTCAACAACCATAGTGACTGTCACTACCGGGCTGGCCCAGGCAGGCTGCAGTCTACGCATTCACAAATAAGAGTAAGAAGTGAGAAAAATGGTAAATGAGCCACAAAGTAGGAACACACTGACTTTTCCAATCATTTCATCACATAGTTGTGTAAAAGTTTCAAACGGAAGAAGAGTAATTTTCTAGTAAACAATTGCACACATTATCTGAAGAATAACTGATACTTTATTTATTTGTTTATTTATTTTTTCAAGACAGGGTTTATATGTATGGCCTTGGCTGTCCTGACACTCGCCCTGTAGATCAGGCTGGCCTTGAACTCACAGAGATCCACCTGCGTCTGCCTCCCGAGCGCTGGGATTAAAGGTGGGCGCCACTGACACCAGGCTAACTGATACTGTTTCAAGAAACCCAAAAGATTCATTCACTGGGTAGATATGTGTAGACATAGGAGTTTTTTATATTCAATTATTCAATGTGCACTTGTCAAAAGCACAGTGAAAAAGGCCTCAGACCACAAAGCTTAAGAAACTCAGTTGCAATGACTTAATCAGAACACACAAGTACCCTACCTACCACTGGGTAGACAGGAAGCATTCAACTGCTTTTTTATTAACCTTGAGGTTTTTGATTTTGAATATTTTGAATAGCATTACCTATCCTGTACGTCCTCTGGGCACCTCCATAGGTGTCAAAAATTCGCTGCAATTCACACTTTCCAGTCATCTGTCGTAAGACCCATTTCATCCAAAATCGAAAAAAGTGCCCATAGAAGAACTCCCACAAAGAAATAAACATGTTCTCCTGGAAAAGGATGCAAGAACACAAGCTTAATGACCTCAAACTGGAATTTTTAAACTGAAAAACAAATTAAGTTGATCCAGCTCCCCAAATTATAATAAAATCTGTTTTGTGACAGTGTTTGATCAGTCAGGCAAGGAAGCAACATATGGCATCGATTACATACTGATCAACCAAAAGGTCAATTTATCTCTAGGCCAAATGGCCACTTTAAAAAAAATTGTAAAAAAGTAGGAAAAAAAACTGGCCAAATTACTTACAGGCTTAAAAGAACAATGACCACCTTACATTTTAACCAAATAATATTTCATATTTTGGATTCTCACTTCCGTTTTTCATCCCTTAAAACTTGGAACTGAACAGTTGGACAATAAAAGCACCAACCGAGCAACAATTTCAAGTCAACCCCACATCAGATGTAGTTTCCCCAAGAATGAGCTCTTCTTAAGTTAGCCCAGGCGCAGAGCGTGTCCCCGCTGTCTCCATCAGCTGCCGCCCACGGGCGGAGGAGAACGCTACAAGACGCTTACAAACCGAAGCGCACAGGTTGAAAACCCCGCAGATGGCATCCTGGCGAGCTCGTGATTTCCCCAGGTGAAGAGCAGAAATGCCAAAAAAAAAAGGTTTTTTTTTAAAGAAAAGGAAAAAAAATCCCGCAAAGCCTACACACTTGATACGACTGGGTCAGAGAAGAAAAACTCTTCGCGGGCTAAAACGAAGGGGACCAGGAGGGAGGGACGCCGGGGCCCGCGAGGAGAGCGCTCCTCGCCCGCCCTCCAGCCCCGGGGCGCGCAGACACTCCCCGCAGTGCGCCGGGGGCCGGAGCAGCTGTCACATCCGAAATCTCCGCCGCGGGGCAAGGAAAGGGGGGCCGGGGCCAGACGCGCGGATCTGGATCTTTAAAGCCAGCCATGCCGCCCGCGCTCGCCGGCCCGAGTGCCGGGCGCCGGCAGACCGTCCCGACGGCCCCGGGAGGCGGTGCGCGAGCCCCGGGGGCCCCCTGCGCCGCGCCGCCCCGCCCCTCCCGCGCGCGGGAGCGCAGCACAAAGCCCCGACGGCCCCGGCGCCCTTGCACCGGGTTATCCGCAGGACCCCCGCGAGGCCTGCGCGGCCGCACGCCAGCCACGCGGGGCGAGGGAAAATGAAAAGACAGCAGCCACCTCATAGGAGCGGAAGAACTAGGGGAAAGCTGGCGCTGCCTCGGTTTCCCCCCTCCGGGCTGCAAACACCAGCAACGGAAACGACGCTTGACGCAGGGCGCTCCCTTCAAGCACCGCGACCCGGAAGTCGGGACCGGAGGCCGGCGCTGGGAGGAGGGAGGAGACGTCTCCCGCCTCTTCCGATTGGTCTGCGCTCCTGCCTATCGCTGGCGCGGAAGGAAGGCCTACGGACTGGCGCGCCAGACGCCGGGTGGTTCCCTAGGCAACGGGGGTGGGGGGTGGGGGCGGTGGCTGCCACGCCCAGCGCCAACGTGGACTCACCCTGGAAACTTTGCTCCCGGCTTTGCGAGGCTCTTCCGCCGCGGGAGTGACAACAGCGCTTTCACCTACATTTCCTAATCTGTGAAATGATTTTATCCTCTGTGAGGCACAAAGGAAACCTGGCTCGAAAGGACTTCGTGGGTGACGCAAAGGAATTTGCGTGGTGGCCTATGTGGGCTCCACGAGAAGTTGCGAAGTTTGGACTTGTAAAAATGAGCATTGAAGGATCGGCGCATCACACGTTCATTTCTTAATTATCGTTTCTACTGGAGGAATAATTAGTGCACTTAAAAAAAAAAAAGCCCAAAAGGTTCGGTTGATCAGCTGGTATGCTGTGCGGGACTGTCTTCTACAAGGGACTGGCTACACTCTAACCAACCGGCAAAAACATAGTATCAGGCGAAGCTGCTCGACAAAGCTCTTAGGGGGATTAGGTAAAGGGGATGAGAGAGTAGGGGAAGGATTTACATACAGCGGAGTCAGCGAAGTAAGACTCTACCGGATGAAGTTAGGGAGTGTGCTGGGCATGGTAGTGCCTGCCTTGTAATACCAGCCAGAGGGCGATGTTGGTAGGAAGACTGGGAGATTAAAGCCAGCCTGGCAACATAAGGTTCTGTCTCAATAGATGATGGATGGATGGATGGATGGATGGATGGATGGATGGATGGATGGATGGATGGAATCCTCCCACCCACATAAGGTTCTGTCTCAATAGATAGATAAATAAATAAATGGAATCCTTCCACCCAACCAAGACTCTTGACTCCGTTTAATTTGCTCAGAAGCAACCACTATATACTTACAGAAATATTCAAGCCAATGTCTAGTGTGTGCTCCATTCATCTCCTTGTGAACTCAGATTACGTGAGCAGCACACACTTTACCACTACTCAACCATCGTTTGTAGAATATAAACCGGTGAAAGACACACAAATACCACCATCTTTGCCCCAACAGGAGTGAAATCCTTTTGGTGGAGACTATAACCCTCCTGTCCCAAATCAAGTTCTTGCCCAGCCCTCCTCCAAGAATGGAGTGGGCAGACAGCAAGGAGTACAAGCAGGAGGTACTCCATTGTCACTCTAGGATTAACAGCTTTCACAAAATAAAAACTAGTTCAAACACGTTGGCATGCAGGATTTTACTATTCAAGTGAAGGCTTTTGAATTCTCTGTACTGCTGTTACAGCTCCTGAAAGCAAACAGCTCTAGGGGGCCACTGGACCAGCAGGGTGCCAAAGCCCAGAGTGTTGAGGCTCTGGAACCACAGGTCTGAAGTCTGGAGCTGGTAGGTCTCAGAAGCAGTAGGTGGGGGAGGCTGAAAGCAGCTGCAGGCATAATTCCCTTCTGTAGGCAGATCACATAGTCTTGGAGCTATGAGTCCCTCTAACTGCAACTGCTGGTCACTGCTCAAATGAGCTCCTTTCCCAGGGCAGAAGATAAGCCTTCGGAGCTGAGCCTCCAGTGAATCCGACCCCAGGGAGAGTCAAAGGCCGCCTTCTTTCTCTTCTGTAGGCTCCTGCATAAGGTGGTTCTGTTTCTGCAGCCTCTGAGAGTCCAGATGTATGGATTACCAACCAGGCCCTGAGTGGCAAATCTTGAAAATGGGTAGGATCAATCAAGAAAGAGCTGTCAAACAAATGGGACAGAGGAAGAGCTCTCTGTGTAAAGGCAGGAAGAGTAAAGAAATCTCTGGCTGCCTCTGGCTGCCCCTGGATCTTTGCAGGCCAGCTGTGTCCCTGATCAGACACTGGCTGCCGGTTCCCTTCCACCAAGGGCTTTTCTCTAGCCAGATTTTTGTTTCTTTTTGCAGTTTCTCTCTGTTTCTCTGTCTCTCTGTCTCTCTCTCTGTTGTTAAAATGTTTAGGTTTATCCAGTAACGAGACACAGACCGTGACTCGACGATCCCACGTGGAGTTTATTGGTAGACAGGGAGGGAAAGGGGAGTGAGAGGTAACCATGCAGAGCTGAGAGAGAGAGAGAGAGAGAGAGAGAGAGAGAGAGAGAGAGAGAGAGAGAGAGATGAGAGTAAGACAAGAGTAAGAGAGAGAGTAAAAGAGTAAGAGAGAGAAAGCAGGAAAGGCAGGGGTCAGTCCTTTAAAGAGTCCTTTGCACCTGTGTGGTTCTCACAGAGCTCTGGGCTGGCCAGAGTGCTGCCTGAGTGCATCCTACCAGGTAACAGGGCAGGCCAGAGTAATACCTGAACCTTTCACTTTCTCTCTGTCTCTGTCTCTCTCTGTCTCTCTCTGTCTCTCTGTCTCTGTCTCTGTCTCTCTCTCGCTCTCTCTCTGTGTGTGTGTGTGTGTGTGTGTGTGTGTGTGTGTGTGTGTGTGTGTATTAAATCTTCTCTCTTCCTAGGAGAAAATGCTCATTGAACTTTCCTCTTTGGCTTTTCTTCTATGGGGCCAACTAAGAAGACATGGCTGCTAATCATCTACTTGTTACAGCTCAAGCATTTGGTTAACAGATGACCCAAATTCAATAGTACCACCCCTTTGTGCGCAAACTCAGGATGCAGAAAGCTTTGTCCCAGGACGAAAATGTCATCCCTCAGTCTTTATGGGGATATTCCTTAGGACTCCTCTAAAGTCCACAGACACTCAAGCCTTTGATGTAAAATAATATAGTGTGATCTACAGACATCTGCCACCTGCTAACTTACAGAACTGCACTACAAGTGACTTCTGCATATCTCATTATTCCCAGAAGGCAAATGTTTCTATTGTGCTATTTTAGCAGTAATAAGAGAAAAGCCTATATTGTTCAAATGTCATTTCCCCCAAATATTTCCTACCCACACTTTCGAAGATGCAGATGCAGCATTCAGAGCAGGGAGGGTCTACTCTTTAGCATGGGTAAAGATTTTTAAATTTTCTTTAAAACTCTTATATTGTGTCTATTGGTGTTCTGCCTGCACGTCTGTTTGTGCACTGCTTGTGTGCCTGGTGTCCATAGAGGCCAGGAGAGGGCATGTGATCCCCTGGAATTGGAGTGACAGACAGTTGTGTACCCCTATGTGTGTGTGCCAGGACTCAAACCCAGGTCCTCTGCAGAAGCAGCTGCTGTTCTTAACTTCTGAGACAGGTCTCCAGCCCCGGCGATTCTAGCTTTTCTTACAGGAGGAGTGTTGTGGTTTGAGTGTGACATGTCCCCCACAGGCTCGTGGTTCTGCACACTTGGTCTCCAGCCAATGGCGATACTTGGGAAGGGTGTGGAACCTTTGGTGGGCGTGGAGCATGGTTGAAGGAAGTGTGTCCCAGGGTGAACCCTGAGGTTTTATATAGCACAAGCAAAGTTCCTGGTCTTGCTTCCTGACTGCCCATGTAGTGTGATGAGCCAGTCTTGAGCTCCTGCCGCCATGCCTTCTCCGCCAAGATGGTCTGTCTCCACTTGGAACTATGAGTCGTGAAAAGCCTTTGTCTTCTATGCTTTCTAGCCAGCTGTTTTGTCAACGTGATGTGTACTGTAAAGTAACCAAGACATCATTTGACTTGTGTGGAGAGTCCAAGGGTGTTTGATATGGTCAGCGCTGAGGTGGGAAGGATGATAGGAAATGTTTTTGCAATTACTGGATGGACCATAATAATGGTGGAAAATATGCTCACATCCCGGCAAGACACAAAAAGGGCAAATTAAGGTATGAAGATAGACGTTTAGGCTATGAAAAAGGTACAATGCATAGCACCAAATCACTATAACGATGCAGAGAAAGAATTAAAAAAAAAATAATGCTCTCTGTGAGTTCGAAGCCGGACTGGTCCAACAGCCTCCAAAACAATACAGAGAAATCCTGTCTCGTAAAACAAAAAAACAAAAACAAAAAAAAATGCAGCTTTTGATTTTACCTGTTGAAAAATTAGGATGGCCATAGTTCAGATCCTTGTCATACCATCTTAAAGTCAAATACCTTCATGAGACAGAGAAGTGCTCTTCATGTAGTTTCAACGAGACAGTCAAAATGAAAGCCTTGCTCCAGTGCTCCCTTATAGTGAATGCCAGGCACCGCCAAATTCCTGGAGAACACAGGAAATCTCACCTTTCCTTGTCAAACAATGGAGGTGGAAATCCCAGTCTCCAATTGTGTTTTCTGTTGATCCTAGGTGCCTCAGCAAAGACAGCAGCTCTTACAGATAACTCTTGAGCATCATGGTTTAAGAAAGTGACCAGGAAGTCCAGCAAACTGAACGGGCTGTATTTGAGTCATAAATCAGACTAACTCTAGCTCCCTGATAAAGTCTAGCAAGGTTGGCTACACACTTGTGAGTTTGTGGCCTTTCCCCAAGGATAGCTGGTCTCTTCAGTTTCATCACAGCTATCAAGACGGTATCTAAACATAGTTATTATCATGTTGATGAAGGCATTGTGGTGATTTTTGGAAGGAATTGATAGATGTAGTGACAAGTAAGTCTAGCTGGCTAGTTGGTCATCCAACTAGGAGTCAGAGCCCATTCCTGACTATTTAACTTTGGCTAAATACCACAAACCTAAAAATAACTTTGGACCTCCAGTGATAGTCCGTGAACAATAATAAGACACACTCCTTTCAAGGGCTCTGCAAATGGAAAGGAAGAAAACACAGCAAGAGTCTGTTTGACAAGCTATGAACATATATACGGACAGTGATCCAAGTGTATATAGGTACCAGGGATTCCAGCACAGCCAGAGTCCTGGAATTTTCTGTTACCAGGACCCATCAAATACGTTTGGTTTTGGGGTTGGAGGGTGTGTGTGTGTGTGTGTGTGGTTTTTTTTGTTTGTTTGTTTTGGGTTTAGGTTTGGTTTTGTTGTTGTTGATGATGAAGCATAATACCGCCCCTGGTGGCAGCCATTGGTATACTCGTGCTTAAAAAGTTCCTGACATAGGAAACTGGTAATGCTGGTAGTTTGTTACTGCTCCGTGCTGCTTTTACAGCAATGTTCATTTTTCTGGTTGCTTACCAGTTGAAGAGCCCATCCCCGGCAGAGGGGAGCTGCTCAAGCAGGTTTAACGGGCAGAAAGAAATCATCTGTTAGTGGAAGACGCGTGGGCCGCAGACTGCATCTATAGTGGGACCAGTTTGGATGTCACCGCCGCAATGTGAGTGTCGGGCGATAACAACAGAAACACGTAGAAAGAAGTTTCTAAGGATCATAGACATTTTATAAATAATAGGGTGTGAAAACCGTGAGTCCACTTAGTCTAATGACATTGATAAAACTCCGCTCTGCAGATGTGGAGTTCGAGGAAGATGCTTGTCTCACTGAGGTGAGACATCTGAGCAGAAACGCTGCAAAAACAAATTAGGCGATGCTCCAATGAGCACAGGAAACTGTTGCGACGCCCTTCTGCGATGTCTTCCTTTTCCCAGCTCTCTGTAGTATGGCTGTTCTCCATCGCTTCATAGCCTGGCAAGTTTGTGCCTGACCTAGCAGAGTTTGCTTGCCTTGTGGCTGCCAAGAGCGTTTACTTAGCAAACACCTGGGAAACATTGGGACTGGAAATGCAGAAAGGTGTAGTGGTTATCTTCTTCATCTCAGGATCACAACTCCCTGCCTGCCGTTGGCATTCATATGACATTCTCAAGCAGGTAGGTGTCCGAATCTTTCTTAAGCTCTCAAAGGGGCCAGAAACCGGAGTTCTCCTGCAGAAAAGAAATTGCTTATCACCAAACACTGCCCGCGAGTCTCCAAGAGAGTTCGGACTGGAAAGGCCAAATCAGAAGTACAGATGAAGGGGCCCCGCGGCTGTGCCATGTGTTTCTCACCTTAGAATAAAAATCGGATGATTACTCTCAGGGAAAAAAAAAAAGCTAAAATGCTAACTCGGTGGTATCTAGTCAGGGCCAGGCAGCCCTGGGCTTACCCACAGTTTCTCTCGTTTAACCAAGCCAGACAGCTATAAAGCGCACTCAAGAAGGGACCGCGATAGTCAATAGGGCTGGGTACCCTCTATTGACTGCTGGTGTGGGTTGGGGCGCAGGCGCGCGGGGTCCGGGGCGCAGGCGCCTTGCTAGGCCAGCCTCAGGGTGCTGTCCCCAGCCTGCCGGGAAGCTGGTCGCCTCCACCCGCCGTGACGCAGCCAGCGCGATGAAGGCCAAGAACGTGAACTTGCTCTTCGCCTTCGTTGCGGTCCTGCTCTTTTGCTTTTCCTGTTTCTGCATCTCCAAGATGAACCAAACCAGTAAGCCCAGGGACGGGGGGAGGTGACAGGGACGATCGGTCCCCATCCTGCCTCACTCGGGAGCCCCACCCCGATGTCGCGGCTGTAAGACCGAAGGAAGGGAGAGGAGGACTTTAGCGGTCCCCTGCCGCCATCCCCACTGCCCCCACCCCATGGAGCGCACAATCCCAAGTCTCCTGACAGTTGGGCTGTAACGGGTCCTCGCAGGCACCATGGGGCACGCGCTGATGGATCCTACCCTCTGGCCTCATGCTAGAAGGTCCCTCCCTTCCCCTCCCCTCCACTCCCTAACCCTCCCCTCCTTTTCTCTCCCCTCTCCTCCCCTCCCCATTCCTTCTTCCAGATCTCTTCCAGACATGGCAAGAGCGCCAGCACCTTTCCTCTTATTCCAACAGGATTAAATATTATCGGGAGAATTTGCAGGAAGACTGCCAGATCCAGTACCTAGTCTTTTCTCCCTTTAAAAATTAGCTGTCATTTGTTCCAGCACTCGGGAGGCAGAAGCAGGCAGATCTCTATGAGTTCGAGGCCAGCCAGGGTTACTTAGGCACAGTAAATAAATAAATAAAAACTCCATGGGCAGGTAGCATTTTGTTTTTCTTTGAGATCGTGGTAGCAATTGATTTGCTTGATGCTGTTTAAACTCGGTGAAGATGAAGACGCTTGTCTGCTCTTGTCCGTTCTGTCCCTGATATGAACCTAGTCTCCAGGGAAAAGAAGTGTATCTCGCAGAGCAAGCATGCCCAATGGTTTTTGAAACAATGACTGGGTCAATGAGTGAGTGTGCCGGTAGCTGTTTTGTTGCAAGCACTAGATCAACGACAGTGGTGGCGACAGAAACCCCCCCTTTCCGCGGAGTTTCCACAGTACTTATGGGGAAAACAACATCTGTAGCTGAAGTGTAGGACTGCCTGCGTCATGAACTCAGACATTGGCTGGGACAGGAAAAGACAGTACCGGCTCCCAGACGTGCTGTCCTTGTGGGGGCATCACAGGGGAGATGCACAGACTGGTCACCAGCCACTGGGTACCCGGAGGAAGAAGAGGTCGCCTCTGATGGGGAGGTACCACCGGCACCTTTCCAGTGCTTCCCTGCCTGATAAGCACTGGGAGGACTTGTTGGTGGGTCTGGGGGTGGGGAAGGTGCAGTCTCAGGTGGTTTGGTTTCTCTGGATGATGCTTCTGTAGCTGACATCCAGTGTTGGCTCTTTGTGAGGCTACTTGTGGCTGCTTTGGGGTCTTGCTGAGGTCCCCCAGCTGGCCACTCATCCCTTGATGTGACCTATGGTCTCTATGAGCTGTTCTGCCAAAAGCTACTGCAACTAGGAATCTTTACCAAGCAGATGCAGGCTTGTGGTGACCCAGCAACATTGCCTCAGGCCACAGCTACCTGGAGATCTGCACCTCTTCAACTGGACTGCCTGGCAAGCTGCTTTGCAGACGTCTCCATCCCTGTTCCTCTTTATCTGGCCCAATGGTTTGCAATTTTCAGAGAAACATGCCTCAGGCCTAATTGGGGGAGAAAAGACTGACCCTAGAGCAGCATATTGTATCTCTCCTGGGCTCTCTTTGGAGGGGGTAAATCCCCACACAAACAGGAGAGTACATTAAATTCCAGTTGTATCGACCAGTTCAGTTATGGGGATACTACACTTCTCAAATCCAGGGGAAGGGCTAAGGATGTAAATGAAGACAAAGACAGCGGCTCATTCTTGCAAGGAGAATGGCGTTTATTTTAACAAGAGTGGAGCTTTATATACCAATGGCAGGCATGATGGAAAACCACCAAGGTCAGAAGCCTACATTCCCAGGGCCCTCCGGCAAAGGATGGGCCAATAGCAGGAATTAGCATTTAGACAATAAGGACAGACAGAAAACAGGAACTTGCATGCAGGCCTTACTGGGAGGAGGGGACAAGAGGTATTCTGCTAGAAGCTCCAAGTCACAAGCTGGTCAGCAGACCCCCATGGGGGAAGGGTGCAGCACCCAGCAACATCTGGACTCCTGGAAATACGACAAACTTATACATCATTATTGCCATCTGGGGAGAGGAACTCTCACGTCCAAGTGGGAGAGGGAAGGACTCAGTACTGTCATGGGAATTCCTGCTGGAATTTAAAATATATAATATTTGCAGGGCAACAGTGTGGGGTGACCATTGCATGGGAAAGTAAAAGGGGTATGGAGATAAGTTGTACTCCACTTTAGCACTAAGATAGTGAAAATATAAGAATTCTCACTAGACTGCTCAAGAGTTCATGTTGGAGTCTGTATCCTAACCACTAAAACCATAGTAAAACAACATGAAAGTGGATCAGCAGCTCCAAAGTGACGCTGGAACACTTTCTGAGTGGCTGTCAAACGACATCACGATGTTCACAAGAAGCACCCTTAAAAGACAGAAACACTGGAAGAACCGTGGAAAAATACACACCCAGCACCCCGTGGCAAGGGAAAGCTGACAGAGCTGCGTTAGTATTAGCAAGAAAACAGAGCAGGAATGTTTAATAAACATGGGAAACCCCAGCAGCCATGGAACTGCCTCCATTGCTTAAAGACTTACCTATTTATGTGTCTTAGTACATGTACGCCACATGTGTGAGTTTCTGAGAAGGTCAGAAAAAGGTTTCAGATCCCCTGGAGCTGAAGCTCTAAGTGGCTGTAAGCCATCTGATGTAGGTGTTGGAAATAAACACCGAGTCTCTGGAAGAACAGCAAAGACTCTTAAACACTGTGCTACCTTTCCATCCCCGCCACTTTGATCCTTACTTAGGAAACTAGATGTTTGGCAAGGACTTGGAATTTCTGAATTTACACAAACTTCCCTTGGGAAACCCTGTGTTCAGGCCCTCACTCATCCGCACAGCTGTCCCATTCTGGTCCCGCCAGGGCCAGCTGGCACACATCAGGACCATTGGTACATGGTAACTTCTGTTCTCATGGGCTAACGTCTCTGTGTCTCCCTTCCCACTGTGTGTGTGTGTGTGTGTGTGTGTGTGTGTGTGTGTGTGTGCATGAGTGCATGAGAGAGAGAGAGAGTCACACACACACATATGCAGGTTGATAAGTAGTTTAAATGAGATGCTAGCATCCAATATATTCCAGAGGAGTGCCTGAATACACTTCTTAGAAGATAGGATAAAGTGTTCTTGATACATGATATCCCTATAAGCAGTCTTCAACAACTTGAAAGTATGTTATGATGCACTCTGATCAGTGAAATAGTTTGCAGCAGTGAACATGCATGAATTACAGCTTGACCCGTTTGTAGGGATGAGTCTCAAAAGCATAAACTGAGGCTGGCTCAGTGGGTAAATGGTTTTTGCTGCCCTGATTTCAATAACCAGAAACTGTATAGTAGAAGGAGAGAACCCACTCCCGTGAGTTGTCCTTTAGCTGCTCACAAGCTGCTGCGGCACGTTCGTGCATGCACAGTCTGAGAAGTAAAACAAGCAAAAGAAGCAAATGTATAAGAGTGCACATCTTTTTACTTAATAACACCTACATCTTAAAGTAAGCCAGCTTCCAAATGTGTTGGAAAGGGGACAGGTGGTCTGGGAGCACTTGCAGCATACCCGGGGCTTAGGTTGGGCGTTCACTCCCACTATCCATTGAGCTTTCGTATGTGCTCATGGGGAATTTAAGAGATCTGACTTTAGTGTAATTTAACATTTCCTGATAAAGCGGAAAGGGCAATCAGAAACATGCTTTCTCTTTTTCGTTTCACCTTTTAAAACCTCAGATATTCTATTTTTGGAACAACATTTGGCTACAAATGAATGGACAAGTTGAAAACATGCTGTCAATTCTTCAACAATGAGGCCTTTGGTTCCTTAATCCCCTCAGTAAGTTACTTCACTCTAAAAACATCAGATTGTTTCACACCATCCATGGACAATATTGTTTTCTTAGTCTAAATGCCTTCCCTTGCCTGCTGCCATATAAGAAAATTTTACACATTCTTCAAGTTTTCAAATATCCCTTTAGCCTTAAAATCCTTCCTACCTGGATTCCCAGGCCCCTTCCCAGGGTTTATCATCTCTCCCTCTCTGGTCCTCAGGTGCTTTGGGGGCGACCTCATTTTAACAAATGTAATTGGTTGACTAAGACTGCCAGCTTAGGCATAACTGGATGTCAGCTTATGAAGATGCAAGTAGCTCCACATCCATCACCCTGCACAAAACTCAAATCCAGGTAGATCAGAACCTCAACACGAATTCAGTTACACTGAACATGATAGAGGAGGAAGGTGAAAAGAGCCTTGAATGCATTGGCACAGGAGACCACTTCCTGAACAGAAGACCAGTAGCACAGGCACTGAGATCAACAATTAGTAAATGGTACCTCATGAAACTGAAAAGTTTCTGTAAGGCAAAGGACACTGCCAATAGGGCAAAATGGCAGCCCTAAGAATGGGAAAAAAAAATCTTCATCAACCCACATCTGACAGAGGACTGGTTCCAAATAAAGAACTCAAGAAAAAACAAATAATGTAATTAAAAAATGATGTACAGACCTAAACAGAATTCTCAACAGAAGAATATCAAATGGCAGAGAAATACTCAAAGAAATATTCAACATCCTTAGCCATCAGGAAAATGTAAATCAAAATGACTCTGAGATTCCATCTTAACCTGTCAGAATGGCCAAGATCAAAACCACCAATGACAGCTTATGCAGGGGAAAGGATGTGGAGTAAGGGGAACACTCCTCCACTGCTGGTGGGAATGCAAACTTGTACAGCTGGTGTGGAAATCAGTATGGCGGTTGTGAAGGCTACTGTTGGTTGTCATCTTGACTATATGTGGAATGCACTATAATCCAGAAATGAAGGGCACACTCACCTGATCTGGATCTTGGGGCAGAAAGACAACACGCCTTTAATCCAGATCTTGAGGCCTGAAGACACACCTTTAATCTGTGCCCCACCTGCTGCTGGGAGCAGTATGAGGACCATGGAAGAAGGAAGAGTTTGATCTCTTCACCTGTTTGCCCTTGTC